GCCACCAAGAAGTTAAGACACTACTTGTTAGCTCACTTGGTAATTCTAGTTTCAAGATTAGACCCCAACAAATATCTCTTTGAGAAACCAGCGCTTATTGGTAGGCTAGCTCGTTGGTTGCTTTTGTTTTCTGAATTTGACTTGAAATATGTCACTTATAAATCTGTTAAAGGAAGAACTTTGACAGAATATTTAGCTGATCACTCGATTGAAGGAGAATAAGATATGCATTATTCATTCCCAGATGAGGAGGTCATGCAAATGGAAGAAGACACTTGAAAGTTGTACTTTGATGGCGCATCAAAACAATTTGGCTACGGGATAGGAGTGTTGCTCATAGCACCAGATGATTCCCATGTCCCTTTAACTTTGAAACTCTGATTCAGAGTATCCAACAACCAAACAGAGTATGAGGCATTCATTGCCAGACTAGAAGCAACTCTAGAACTAGGGGCAATAAGGTTGGATATGATTGGGAATTAGAACTTGGTTTTAAGCCAATGGAGACTGGAATGTTAAAGAGGAGACAATGAAAATCTATCATCAAACCTTGGACAAGTTGATCCCGAGGTTCGAAAGACTGACATTTACACACCTAGTGAGAAAGAACAACTAATTTTCTAATGCGTTGGCAACCTTGGTCTCAATGATTGATATACGAGTTGGGGTTAAGATGTGCCCAATCCTAATAGAACAAAGATATGCGCCTGTATATGAAATGGTAGCTGTAACAGAAGAAGTTCAAGTTAAAAACCCCTGGTACTTTGATATTTGGAACTTTTTGAAAAGCAGTACATGCCCGCAAGGGGCAAATGCTAAGGACAAAATAAGGATACGATGTCTAGCTGCTCAGTTCATCATCTACAGAGATTATTTGTACAGAATGGGACATCTAGGAATACATAAGTTATATGTAAAGGAAGAAGAGGCAAAGCGTATCATAGAAGCCATCCATGGAGGATAGTGTGGAGCCCACATGAACGGTATGATGCAGGCTAGAAAGACCCCTAGACAGGGATACTACTGGTTAACCATGGAAAGTGATTGTATCGACTTTGTTATGGATACTACTAGTTAACCATGAATATCCCGCCATCAAAACTCTACAACATGACTTTGCCTTGACTTTTCTCAGTCTGGGGCATAGACGTTATCGAGACAGTCACACCAAAGGGTTCAAATGGCATCAATTTATCTTGGTTGCCATTGATTATTTCACGAAGTGGGTTGAAGCACAGTCATTTTCAGTTGTAAAAGCATCGCACGTGGCCAAATTCATTAGAAATAACATCATTTACAGATATGGGAGGTCAAACGATGTAATTTCAGAAAATGGCTCACATTTCAAAAGAGAAATGGCAGTTCTACTTGAGAAATATAACGTAACTTTTCACAAGTCATCAACTTACAGGCCATAAACCAATGGAGTTGTTGAATCTGCAAATAAGAACATCAAGATTATTCTACATAAGACAGTGGAAACCTATAGAGATTGGCTAGACAAACTGCCTTTTGCACTTTGGGGTTATAGGGCATCAATTCGAACGTCTATGTAAGCAACCCCTTACTCTTTGGTATACGAAATGGAGGTTGTTTTGCCGATTGAGATTAAAGTACCTTGGTTGAGGATTTTGGCTAAATGTCAAATAGCAGAAACTAATTGGCAACAAAATCGATTTGAGGAGCTAATGTTGTTTGATGAGTGAAGATTGAAGGCGTTATACCACGTTTAGGGGTATCAACGCAGGATTTCCAGAGTATTCAACAAAAAAGTTAGATCCAGGAATTTGAGGGAATGAGACTTAGTGCTGAAGGACAATCGAGCTCCTATCCATGACCCTAGGGGCAAGTTCTGACCCAATTGGACGAGTCCCTACATCATCAAGTCAATTTGGTCAGGGGGAGCAGTCATTCTCATGGATTTGGATGGCTTGTAGTTCTCGTAACCAATCAACATGGACAAGCTAAAGAAATACTATCCTTGAGAAGCTTGCTGGGCCGAAAACTTGGAAGGGCGACCCAGGCAAAAGTTAGAGCATGAAAAAAAATAAAAAAGAAAGAAGAAAAAGTGAAAAAAATGAAAAAAAACTACAAGGTCGAAAACTCAGAAATGACGGCTTTGACAAAAGTTAGAGCATAAAAAGAGGGTGTTAATACCCGAATAAACCTTAGTCAAAATTACGTATGGCCTGATTCTTATATTTGGGATATATAGGCAGCTTCATCTTGATGTTTAGCCGTAATAACTTATCAAATCATTCGTCCCGTCCATGTTTGATTGGTGTATCTCTATTTGACTTCACTATCCTATACATGTGTGATTGGCTTATCTTTGTTCAATTCAGTTGTCCTATTTCTCCTTCATGGTGAGTTCAGTTGCAAGACAAATTTAGTTGTATATGTCAAGGGTTGATTTCATGTTGATCGGGTAGTGGCCATTTGCGAAAATAGATTTTGCGGTCTTTTAATGAAGTTGACTGATTTTCTCACAAATTAATTCATTTTTGCAAAACCCAGACCATTCTTGGGACCAAAAAGGAAAAAATTTCAGCGCTATAGCCTGACTCACATTCATATGTCTTGAGGATTGTCAGAAACTAGGATGCTCAATGCCGAAAGACTACTCCATTTTGTCCAAAAGCTGGCCAACTAGGCCTAGCAAAACCTGTCTTATTACGACACTGAGAAAAGGAACAAACAAATGAATATGTAGGTAGCTCGACTAATCATTTCCGGTTAGATTACAACAAAACTTATATGAAACTAAAATAAGAAAAATGAATACAAAATAGAAAGTGTAAAATTACAACAAAACTAATATAAAACTAAAACAAGGAAAGCAAATATAAGATAGAAAGTGCAATATTACAACAAATGAAACTAAAACAAGAAAAACAAATAAGATAAAAAGTGCAAGAAAATGAAAGAATTGAAAATAAAACAAGAAAAACAAATATAAGATAGAAAGTGCAAGAAAATAAAAGAGTTGAAAATTCACCTTCCAAAGAAAAATTGAACTTCTTGATTTCCAAACCTCCTCTTGATTACCCTCAAAGTTGTGAATTGTGTTCTTAATCCTCAATTCAAGAGCTTGGAATTTAAGCTTTGAAAGTAGCTTTGGACAAGTGTAGGAAATGATCACTTGGAACTTCACAAGGACTACTCTCTCTTTTATCAAAACTCTAGAATTTGACTACAATAACATGACTTTGATGACCTTTTTGTAATAGAAGATGAAATATAGTATATAGCTTGAGAAATGGAAGGTTACAATTAACACTCAATTTTAGCTAACTCTTGAATTCAAAACTTAAACTCTCTTTTCCTCTATCTCTAACATTCTCTCCTTAATCTATTCTCTCATTCCTCTCAACAATCTGATGTATTCATATAGGATGTAAGTGGAGCAATGATGGAAGACAAAGTGGAAGATTAATGGAGTATTAAGGGAGATAATGGAGCAAATGGAGCACTAATGAAACTAATGGAAGACAAAAATAGAGCATTAGCTTTAACGGATCAAGCATTAGGCAATGGATGATGAGTATACATGCATTCAATGCATAAATGGGTCAAAAAATGAGTTTGGGAAGTGCCCACCTGAACCAACGCAAAAATTTGGGCAAACTGGCTGTGGGGCACTCGACCGGCTAAACAATCAGGCAATCAACCAACTAGAAAGAATTTGCTTGGTCTGCTTTGGTTCAGTCCAGCTTCGCTCCGATACCCGATAGGACCTAAACACTTGGCCAAAATAGACTTAGGGTAGAGAGTAAAGCTCAAATTTCGTCTTTTTTACTGAGAATTGTGCAAGAAACACATTCTGATTTTAATTATTGGGTAATCAACTGAAAGCATCCACGTCTTAAGGCCGATCAAAATGGGATGTCTACATTGAGCTATGACATTTGTGGTGATCAAACTCACAAATATCATAAATTGTATATGATATACACTCTCTAAAGAATATATCATAACATTACTCGTAAAGGAAACATGATAATTTTTTTATGGAAAATTCTATTATACACACCCATATATTATTTGTACTCTTAGTTACGTCATTTTCTTCTTTAATTATAATATAATTTTAAAATATTTAGTTATGACTTTTTTTTATTATTTTAATTATGACTCAAAAAATATAGAGTCGTTATTTTTTTTTTATAATTATAAGGTGTATATGATACCTGCATTCTTTCGAAAATGTGTAGCATAATTTTTCATTCAAATCACTCCTAAACATAGTGTAATTGTCCAATTCCATGTAATCGACTGATAAAAGAAAAATTTAGAACTAAATTAAAAAAAAACACACACACACACACACAATTAAGAAAAAAAAAACAGAAGCTTCCGAGATGAGTCCAGGATGGAGCCACCGACGGACATCATCGGTCCGATATAACTATTTATTATGAGAAAATGTTATGGTGGGTTTCTATCCTAAAATTTTATTGGGTAAATTATAAATATATTCATTGAAATTTGTTTAAAATATGAATTATTTGTTGTAATTTAGAAAATTATAAATGTTTCTCTGTTAGAATTTTTTATTTAACAAAATTAATTAAAAAAATAAAATTTTTAATTGTTCACTAATACAATAATAAAATTATCTTAATTATTAATTAAAATAAAATTTTAACATTATTAAAAATTATTAATTAACTTGATGATTTATTAATAAAATGACCTATTTATTATGAAATTAAAAACTTTAGTAGGCATAATGTAATTTTTAAAATTAAAAAAAATAATTTATAATTTAAATAAATTTTAGAGAGTGTGTTTGTAAATTATTATAAATTAAGCTAACGAAAAATATTAGACTTGGTTTTAGTACCTAACAGTTATTTACTAACTTATTGCAGTCCTCTCAGGACTAAACTCTTACAATATCAAATCATAAGATTTTAAATATTTTATTACGTAAATTTATAATGGGGTTACGTATTTTATAACAGATGTTACGAATGTTTATGATATTTTTATTATATATATACTGTATGATTGGAGTTTCCAAAATCGTCTTACTTTGCTCTCTGGTTCTCAAGTCCTTAAGCTTCTCTCTCTCTCTCTGTTTCTCTCTCTCTCTCTCAGAGAGAAGTCTGAATATGGAGATAGTAGTATACAAGTACTCTCCTGCAATTGCATGTGCGATTATTGGTGTTGTGACCTTAGCATGGGCATCATGGTCTGTATTCAATTGGGTATGGTTAAGACCGAAGAAGCTGGAAAGGTATCTCCGAAATCAAGGTCTCACCGGTAACTCTTACAAGTTGTTATTCGGAGACATGAAAGAGAGCTCTGCCATGTCTAGAGAAGCTAAATCCACTCCCATCAAAATCTCCGATGATATTGTCCCTCGCGTCTTACCCTTCGTTCATCAATACATCTCCAATTACGGTACGTTTTCACTCCGATTTCTTTTTCAAATCTTTGATTGGATTTCTCATTTTTATTCACATATTTTCAAAGTTCGGCGGAGGAGGGCGGTGGGGTTTAGGGTGGAAGAGGAAGAGGATGAGGAAGAGGGCAGAGGAAGAGAGAGAGAAAAAGGGTGAGAGACACGGCAGCACCACCATTTTTCTGAGTTTTTTTTTTAATATTCTAAAAAATAATAATTTAGACGATTGACTCATTTTTTAAATTATTTAGAAAATTAATTTACTTTTTGAAATCACGTTTGGAAAATATAATTTTAAATTAAAAATTAGATTTTCAACATGTCATTTTACTTGAAATTACATGTTAAAAATATAATTTTATGATAATATGAACTTTTCTAAGATATATTTTATTTTTAATTTAAAATTATATTTTTAAAATACAATTTCAATTTGAAATCGCATGTTGAAAATGTAATATATCTTAGTAAACATGCGATTTCAAGTTGAAATTATACATTGAAAATGCGATTTTCAATTTAAAATTGTATTTTCAAAATGCGATTTCAAAAAGAAAGTTAATTTCTCAAATAATTTGAAAAGTGAGTCAATTTTCTAAATTATTTTTTTTAGAATATTTATAAAAAAAACTCAATGTTTTATATAAGTATGAGATTCACATGAGACTTATATGGTATGAATCTCATATTTATATGAAATATTTCGTAGAAATATTGGTAAAATATTTAGGTCCCTAGCATTTTTTTATTTATTAAAGATGAATTACAATCACTAATTTATAAAATAAAATAAAAAATTACACTGTAGTCTAGTATTTTTTGAAAAAAAAAATTATTACAAAATTCTCTGTCAACTTATGAATTACATGATATTATTATATTTCAATAAATCATATTATTTTGAATATTTGATTCACTAAATTATAATTCTTATATGTAAGCCGTTTTATGAATAATTTTATCTTTACAAATATTTTTGAACTCTTAACAATTTGGTAATTTAAACATTCACCTTAAATAAATTTGATAGTGTAAATGTTTATATTGACAATGTGAATATTTATTACGTGAGTATTCACACTGTCAATGTGAACATTAATGCACATTCCATCTTATTATTATTAAGGATATTTTGATAACTATATCACTTATATGACTTATTAGAATATAATAAAACTAGTGGTAACTCGTGCTACGCACGGCATGTAAAAAAGTTAATAATATATTTTTATACAAAATAATATAAATAGTTAAATTTTTGTATGCAAATTATGAAAACAAAGAAAATTGAAATTTAAAATTTAAGGCTCACAATTTTATCACAATTTACTTATTATTTTTTAATTTGTCACAAATTTAATCATGTAATTTTTAACCTCCCTTTCTAGAATTGCAAACTTAAGTGGGCTCAACCCAAGCAACTTGAGTCAAGGTTAAATTTTTTTAAAGATTGAACCATATAATTTTTAATTAAGTGAGGACCTATACAGAAATTCAAAAATTTAAATTAAATTTGAGTAATTTAAAAATTAAAAAAATATATGTAAAATTAAGTAAAATATAGATATATTTTATTTTTATTTCATTTATTTTTTCTCTTTTTTTCTTTCTAAATCCTTTAATCAAACAGAAGATAAGTGGGTAGTTTTTGGTAAAGGCTTGTGAAAGGAATTTGGGGATGTTACTGTGCAGAGTGCACAGCAGCATTTGTCATTTTGAGAATTCGAATCATTCACATTTTAAAATACATCAAGTAGAACATGCCTGCAAAAAATCAACTTAATCGGATATCGTTTACCTATTCATCCATTCACATTTGCATTCATTTAAATACTTTAAATCACAATTATTATTTATTTTTGTAGATAAAAATATGAGTGGATGAATAAGTAAACGATATCCGATTAACTTGATTTTTTATAAATATATTTTACTTGATGTATTCTAAAATATGAACGATTTACATTATCAAAATGAGTTCTAAAATAAATCTATTTTGCCGCACACGCAGCAGCATTCCCAATCCCTTATGGAAGTTTATGGTTCATGGCAACAATAAATAAATAAATAAATAAATAATTACAGTCAACAAGAGGGAATGATGGAGGTGAGGGTTAGTGTTGGAAGAATGATTTTGGTGTTTTAAAATTAAGATTCATATACAAGAAGCTAAAAGTCAATTCAAAAAAAAAAAAAAAACTATAGAAAAAGATAAAAGGTATTATAATCTTTTTATTTTTGAACAAAAATTTATTTAAGTTTTTGATAGGAACGGAATTTATGTATGATAATAAAAGGGTAAATTACACTTATCTCTCTTGAGGTTTCTAATAATTTGTGATAATTATAGAAATTTTTCCTGAAGTTTCAATAATTATACTAATTTCTCATATTTTTTAAACTATTATTAAGACTCTTCTATTAGATTATTTAACAAAATTTGTTAATGTCATACAAAAAATGATAAAATTATCCATTAATTACTTTATCTATTTAAATAAAAAAATTTCACTCACTTATCCTGAAATTTTGCATATATATTATCAAAAATTTATACATATTTTACTATTATTTAATAAAATTCTTAAATTTCATACAATATTAAATAAAATCTTTAAATTATTAAGACATTATTAAATTATTTAATTAAAAAAAAGCCTTAATTTTTATTGATAAAATATTTAAAAATAAATAATATCTCTAAAATTAATATTAGAGAAATATCCTAATAATTTAATATAAGATTTATTTCATATCACATAAATAACCTAAAATTTATTATTTTAAGTAATGCCTTTATTGTTTGAATTTTTTTTTAAAGTTAAAATAAACAGATTTATTTTTTCCGGCAATTTACATTACTTGTTTACTCATATGTAAAAAAATTATTATTTTATTTTTTCTCAATCATACATTATTCTCAATTTTTAATTTTTATTTTTGAGTCATTAAACTTCTAGTTGATGCATATTTACAAAACTGTAAATTAATATTTCTTACATGATTAAAAAATAAAAATAAATAAATAAAAGTAAAAAAAAAAAATTAATCGCCTCACAATAAATTAAATTTAGTTAATAAGAAATGAAAGATCAAGAAAGCATTTGAGAATAATAAACAATTCAAACAATTTATCATTTCTTACACCTAAAATTAAAATTAATCTTTACTTGAATGGGAAATTATTTGAAAATAATAAAATACTCAATTGATTTGTTATGTATGATACTTAAAATGTATCTCTCCATCTTTATTTATCTCATTTAAATTATTTCTATTAAATTAAATCTTAAAATTTATTTCTCACCTTCATTAATGGTTAAATTTTTATTTTATTTTTTGTTTATAAAATCTCAAAAACTTGTTGTGAAAAAAAATAGAGCCAAGAAATTACATTTATATTTCTAAAAAATTATGAAAAATAAATAATAATTTCGTATATACTTAATAGGGTAAATTAAATTACATTTATATATATATTAAAAAGTATTTTATTTCATTGTGCGTTTAAATTAGTATTAGAATCCGATTTTTCAATAAAATTATATGAGTATTAGATATATGGAAGAAATAAATTAGATAATTTAAATAATAATACTTCGGTATAAATAATAATAGAACAAAATCAAGGTGAGAAATTAAAAAATAAAGTAAAAATTTAACCATTAATAAATGTGAGAATTAATTTTAAGATTTAATTTAATAAAAATAATTTAAATGAGAAAAACAAAGATGGAGAAATAGATTTGAAGTATGATACATAACAAATCAATTGAGTATTTTATTATTCTTAAATAGTTTCTCCATTTAAGTAAAGATTAATTTTAATTTTAGGTGCAGGAAATGACAAATTGTTGGAATTGTTTATTATTCTCAAATGATTTCTCCTTTCAAATAAGAATTAATTTTAATTTTAAGTGTAGGAAATGACAAATTGTTTATTATTCTCAAATGGTTTCTTGATCTTTCATTCCTTATCACCTAATTTTAATTTATTGTGAGGTAATTATATTTTTTTTACTTCTATATTTATTTTTTTATTTTTTTAATCATGTAAGAATAACCTGTGATTTTTTTAAAAAAATATATGCATTGATTAGAAATTTAATAACTCGAAGATAAAAATTAAAATTTGCTCATAATATCTTAACAATTTAGAGATAAATAATTTGCTTACATATGAATAAATAAGTAGGACAAATTACAGAAAAAAATAATCTATTTGTTTCGACTTAAAAAGAAAAAAGGAAAAAGAAATTTCAAGAATAAATATATTAAATAGAGGGGCACTGACCAATCAGTCCTATTAACTAGACTTTTTTGCCTACAAGTCCTAACTGATAAATTTATCACTATAAAAACAAGAAATTGATAAATTTATCACTATAAATTTATTTATAAAAATAAGAGACTGATAAATTTATCACTTGACAAATTTATCAATGGTCTCGTTTGGGAACAGACTAATTTAGTAACTTTTTGACTATTTGGCTAAAATATGAGTTAAAAAAAACTAGTATGTTTAAGATGACTTTTTGACTTTTTACGAAAAGATGTGTAAAAAGTAGAGAGAAAAGAGAATCTTTGACTTTTTTGTATGGGTTGTTAACTTTTTGACTAATTTAGTAACTTTTTGACTGAAAATGAGGATTCTCAAACGAGGCCCAAAAGTAAGACCTATTACTAATTTCCCCTAAATAAAATTGATAAATATTTCGTTATTTATATAATGTGAAATAAGTCTTATAAGTGTTGTATTAATTATTAGGGTTTTATATTAAACTATTATGGTATTAAGTTAAAACATGTATAGATCTTTAATAATATATATGCCAAACCTCACGGGAGGTGATTGAAAATTTTTATTTAAATAACTTATTAATTGAAATGGCCAACATGGTCATTTTACATAGAAAAGTAACGGTGTTTGTGCTAAATTAATGGATTAAAAATTTTTGATATTGTCAGCAAAAGTAAAGGAAATATCTATAATTATTGAAACCACCAAAAAAGTTCTTATATTTTTTAGAAATTTTAGGGGAGATAAGTGTATTTTAGGCAAATAAAATTATCAAAAGAGAGGAGGGAAAAAAATTGAAAAGATTCTCATTTTTTTTTAGGGTTTGTCTTGCTATATTTTAAGATAATTTTAGCTTTTTTTTATCCATTTAAATAAATGAAATTTTCTTTAGGTTTCACGTGATCTGACCTTGGACACCCACCCACCAACCACATCCTCATTATTATTATGTAATTATTGTTTTTGCCTGTGATAATTGCTTTGCTGGTTGTGCGCTGTTGACAATTCAAACCATTAATGAATGTGAGAATTAATTTTAAGATTTAATTTAATAAAAATAATTTAAATGAGAAAAATAAAGATGGAGAAATAGATTTTAAGTATGATACATAACAAATCAATTGAGTATTTTATTATTCTTAAATAGTTTCTCCATTTAAGTAAAAATTAATTTTAATTTTAGGTGTAAGAAATGACAAATTGTTGGAATTGTTTATTATTCTCAAATGATTTCTCCATTCAAATAAAGATTAATTTTAATTTTAAGTGTAGGAAATGACAAATTGCTTATTATTCTCAAATGGTTTCTTGATCTTTCATTCCTTATCAGCTAATTTTAATTTATTGCGAAGTAATTATATTTTTTTTACTTCTATATTTATTTTTTTATATTTTTAATCATGTAAGAATAACCTGTGATTTTTTTTTTAAAAAAAATATGCATTGATTAGAAATTTAATAACTCGAAGATAAAAATTAAAATTTGCTGATAATATCTTAACAATTTAGGGATAAATAATTTGCTTACATATGAATAAATAAGTAGGACAAATTACAGAAAAAAATAATCTATCTGTTTCAACTTAAAAAGAAAAAAGGAAAAAGAAATTTAAAGAATAAATATATTAAATAAAAGGGGCATTGACCAATCAGTCCTATTAACTAGACTTTTTTGCCTACAAGTCCTAACTGATAAATTTATCACTATAAAAACAAGAAATTGATAAATTTATCACTATAAGTTTATTTATAAAAAATAAGAGACTGATAAATTTATCACTTGACAAATTTATCAATGGCCTCGTTTGGGAACAGACTAATTTAGTAACTTTTTGGCTATTTGACTAAAATATGAGCTAAAAAAAACTAGTATGTTTAGGATGACTTTTTGACTTTTTACGAAAAGATGTGTAAAAAGTAGAGAGAAAAGAGAATCTTTGACTTTTTTGTATGAGTTGTTAGCTTTTTGACTAATTTAGTAACTTTTTAACTAAAAATTAGGGTAAGACCTATTACTAATTTCCCCTAAATAAAATTGATAAATATTTCATTATTTATATAGTGTGAAATAAATCTTATAAGTGTTGTATTAATTATTAGGGTTTTATATTAAACTATTATGGTATTAAGTTAAAACATGTATAGATCTTTAATAATATATATGCCAAACCTCACGGGAGGTGATTGAAAATTTTTATTTAAATAACTTATTAATTGAAAGGGCCAACATGGTCATTTTAGATAGAAAAGTAACGGTGTTTGTGCTAAATTAATGGATTAAAATTTTTTGATATTGTCAGTAAAAGTAAAGGAAATATCTATAATTATTGAAACCACCAAAAAAGTTCTTATATTTTTTAGAAATTTTAGGGGAGATAAGTGTATTTTACGCAAATAAAATTATCAAAAGAGAGGAGGGAAAAAAATTGAAAAGATTCTCATTTTTTTTTAGGGTTTGTCTTGCTATATTTTAAGATAATTTTAGCTTTTTTTTATCCATTTAAATAAATGAAATTTTCTTTAGGTTTCACGTGATCTGACCTTGGACACCCACCCACCAACCACATCCTCATTATTATTATGTAATTATTGTTTTTGCCTGTGATAATTGCTTTGCTGGTTGTGCGCTGTTGACAATTCAATTCTGAACTTCATTCATACACTTTCTTCCAATTTTGGCAGCCTCAACAGCAGCATTTAAATTGTATTATTTGCTGTGATTAATATTAAAATATATATAAATTACTATAAAAAAACATGTATTCAAAATATGCCATTGGAGGATAAGATAGGTGGCAGACTTATATTTAGAAACTCCAGCCATTATCAGACCTAATTAATTTGGTTTTTTTTGATGAAAAATGATTCTCAATCATGGCTTTGAAGCTAATAAAATTTTGTCTAACGTATGATTTATAGTGAAGAGGATAATCCATGAAAATCTTGAGTACTTAAACAAGAAGAAAATAAATAGGGCCAATTACACACACAAAAAATAAAAAAATAAAAAAAAATAATAATCTAAGGTTTGAGTCTCCTGACAAAATAAATTTGAGTTTTTAATTTTGTCAATTTAAACCTTAATCTTTTAATTTTTTTTTTAATCTAAACTATTTGTTTATTTTTGTTAAGTAAAATCGACGAAAAAAAGAATACTTTAGACATTAAACTCAATGTAGATATACATAAAGTGTCTAAAATTTTATTTTTCATTGAGTTTAATGACGAAAATATTTATTCGTCATCGATTTTATTTGACGAGAAGAGGTAAATAGTTTTGATTAAAAATAAATAAAAATTTATAATTTAAATTAATAAAATTAAAAATTTAGAATTTATTTTGTTACAATAGTCAAACTCTGATTTTTTTAAGGGTTTGTTACTCAGACACACAGTACATCTAAAACCATGTTTGTTCGTTGAATTGACAAAACAAAGGGACCTAACAATCTCCCTTTATATCAATTCCCGGACAAAACATTCTAGCAATTATTCCTAACATACATACGCACTAGACACAAACTCCCAACCACTCTAAACTCAATGCTAAGCAAGCCACCTACTGAGATTATATATATAATAATGTCCTCAAATAAATAGTAACCTATATCCACATGAAGAAACAAGGGGAGGGCCCCAAAGACCGATGTGCAATAATACAAATGGGGCATGAAGCCTGACTAGCTACATTACAATGATGACAATTGGATAGAATGACTAGTTTTATCCCCAAATGCTTAACTATTTATATTTTGGAACACATGTTTCAAAACATAGAACATTTTCATTCTCAAAGGAAAAATCTAGTGATGTCAAATTCTGTCCTATATATATTTTTAAAAATTTTCTTTAAAAAAAATAAATAAACAATATTTTGTGTTTCTTCATGATTAATTTATATTAATATTTTATTAGATATCTAACTATTAAAATATAATTGCTATTATATGTAGTAGTCTTTTAAATTCTTGTAGTATGATCATTACAACCGACCACTATTTTACCACACTTTACAGCACATAACATGCCATGCCACGTTCTCATTGAGAAAGACAAACATGTATTTTTGTAAAAGAACAGGAGACAAAGAGGGGCCTGGAAAGACAAATATGTGATATAGAAGGGACATCAAAAAATTTAGACAGATTAAAAGCTGTAGAGGGAGTAAAAAGAGAATCCCTCTTACTAGAATTGGGGACAGTGAGTCCTTTCAGATCTTTTATTGCAGATGAATAGAGAGCTTGGAACATGCCAAAATATCAATTAGTGGGAGATGAAGTGGGTGATTATGGAGAATTTGAGAATGACTCGGAGAATGAAGAATGATGTCTTCATTAGATGAAGATCAACCATTTGTTGATTGAAAATACCAGTAGAGAAAGAAAGAACCTAACTAACTAAACACTCGACAGACAACTTAGCACTACTAAGTAAGTCAATAATGGACACACTCTCGTAATTACCATAGCCAACTCTTCTTGCTCACTGTAAGCAAGAATTTTACTTGCGTAATTTGGAAATGTTTGTGTAATATTATTATCTAATTCATCATGTTGTGACCATGTGTATATATATATATATTTGAACTTCACTATTTATTTACCTGTACATATTGCTTCAATTTGTTCAAGGCATATTTATCTGGTTATGAGTTGCAGGAAAGAATTCTTTTATGTGGCTTGGACCAAAACCGAGGGTTAACATCATGGACCCTGAACTCATAAAGGAGATTTTGTCAAAGAATTTCAACTTTCAAAAGGTCAAGACAAATCCACTATCCAGGTTGTTAGCCAATGGACTAGCTAGCCAAGATGGTGAGCAATGGACTAAACACAGGAAAATCATCAACCCGGCTTTTCATATGGAGAAGTTGAAGGTTATTTCCACCATTTTTTTTTTTTGGGGGCGCATATCATTAGGGTTTAATATATTGGCAGTCCCTAAAGTATGCACTCTATTTTATTTTAGTCTCCAATATTTCAATTGTGTCAGTTTGGTCTCCAACTTATCCAATTTATGTTTAAATGCATTTCCATCCAAATTTGGGGGGAGAAAAAAAAAAAGAAGAAAAAAAAAAGTACCCCATGCTTCCATTATAAAATTTGGATGAAAATAATGATGGGAACCATTTAAACATAGATTGGGAAAGTTGGGTTGGAGATCAAATTGGCAATTGAAATATTGCAGATCAAAATGATATAGATGCATACTTCGAGGACCACGTTTGTATTTAACTGTATAATTTATTTAAGCTTAGTTGCTCTATTCAATTAAATGTTTTAGTGGTTGTTTCCTGTGTCTAAATGTAACTTCGAGATAGAAGGGAATTTTGCAAGCGCGCGCGCACACACACACACATATATTTATATTTATATCAATAAATTACTGATAGTCTTGGGTGTGTTTTTCTTTTCTTTTTTTTAGCATATGCTACCTGCATTTTATTTGAGCTGCAGCGAGATGATAAGTGAATGGGAGAACAATATTGTCTCAGCAGAAGGGTCATGTGAGTTGGATGTGTGGCCTTCTCTTCAAACTTTGTCTAGCGATGTGATCTCTCGCACGGCATTTGGTAGTAACTATGAAGAGGGAAGAAGGATATTCCAACTTCAGAGAGTACAAGCTGAGCTTCTAATCCAGGCTTTGAGTACAGTTTACATCCCAGGCTGGAGGTAAAATTAAATTATCTCAAATTCTTGATTTGAATATATTTTTCTATCTGGTTTTGTTAGGTATCATATATTAGCTTAGCTAGTTTTGTCTGGTTAGAAAATGTGAAAGATATATATATATATATATATATATGAGTACTAGGAAAGATAACTAGAAGTCTTTATAGATGATATTAGGGGGAAAAATTGGGGTTAAAGAAAAAAAGACAGGGCAAATTACATTGGTGGTCCCCGAACTTTATCCCTTGTGACAACTTGGTTGGTGTAGTTCCAGTTGTGATATATTTGCCCTTTAAGGTGTGCATTTCCTATTTTGCCCTTGAAAAATGCTCAAGTGATCAAAAATACTGTCTTCCCTTCCTAATTGGACCAATTGACACAAAGTGCAAATTTAAAGGGGTAATGTGTTGCCATTGGTACTATGTAATTTACCCAAAAAGAAGTTATAGGGTTTTTTTTGTTTTTTTTTTGGGGGGAAGGGGAAATCAAACCTTTGATCTCCTGGTAAAGTCGATGAGCTCTAGCCATTGGGCTAACCCTAATAGTTAAAAAGATATCATAATTGCTAGCTAGCTACATATGCTTCACTACTGCATGTGTAGGTTTTTGCCAACTGAGAGGAACAAGAAGATGAAAGAAATCGATAAAGAAGTACAAGCATCACTAAAGGTTATCATCAATAAAAGACTGAAGGCAATGAAGGAAGGAGAAACTAATAATGATGACTTACTGGGTATATTATTGGAATCCAATCTCAAGGAAATTGAACAGCATGGGAATAACAAGAAAGTTGGAATGAGTATTAAAGAAGTCATTGAAGAATGCAAGCTATTCTACATTGCTGGGCAAGAGACTACCTCAGTTTTGCTTGTGTGGACAATGGTTTTATTAAGTAGGCATCAAAATTGGCAACAACATGCAAGGGAAGAGGTATTGGAAGTATTTGGGAATGACAAGCCCAACTTTGATAACTTAAATCACCTCAAAATTGTAAGTATGCAATTCCCATATACACACTTACCTTTGGGAAATTATTATTTCTTGTGGGCATTATCACATAAAAGATTATGTTTCTACTTGCATTGTGTTTGGATTATGGATTTAGAAAAGAAAAAGGATGTGGAGAAAAAATTTAATTTATATTTTGTTAATATTTGCCTCATCTTTTTCCTTTTCAAATCACTATCCAAATCCATAATCTAAACACAGCCTTACCAAACAAGTACACCTTTCTTGAGAAAAACAAAATCCTTGTTTTGGAGCATCATGTTTGCATGGGAAAATACAATTTCATTTGCTAAAACTCCAAAATTTCTAGCAAAACGTCTACACTATTTTAGGGAACAGAAAATATTTGTATGCACAATGTATCAGCTTGATGGTAGGTTCTCATTCTGTAGTCTTTAAATTTTCTCTTCCTCAGGTGACTATGATTTTGTATGAAGTTCTACGGTTATACCCACCAGTAATTATGCTTAATCGAATTGTCCATGAAGATACAAAATTAGGAGGAATCACCATCCCGAGTGGAGTGCTACTTTCTTTACCAATAATGCTACTTCATTATGACACTGAAATTTGGGGTGATGATGCAAAGGAGTTCAAGCCAGAGAGGTTTTCAGAAGGAGTGTCGAAGGCAGCGAAGAACCAAGTTTCGTTTTTCCCATTCAGTTGGGGACCTCGGGTATGTGTTGGACAAAGCTTTGCAATGTTAGAAGCCAAGATGGCCGTGGCTATGATTCTACAACGATTCTCTTTCGAGCTTTCACCATCCTATACTCACGCTCCATACCCTATTGTAACTCTTCAACCCCAATATGGTGCTCACTTGATTCTACAGAAACTTTAGATATTTCTGTCTATTTGGGGTTTAAAATTTCATGAACTATAAGGCATGTACTTTTGATTTTTATCATCTTATAATTTTCTCTTTTATTTTATATGAGTGGATAAGGTTTTAAGAACTAATTAGTCAGTTTTTGTCATTATGAGTTTAAACCATAGTTAAGTCTGGTCATGTAAACTCTTGTTAATCTCTATGGCTGATATGTTATATATTTGTAAGACATTATATGAAAGAGAGTTGAACGGTGCTATATAGTAGTATATAGACAAACAAACAAAATTTGTGAACTTCCCTTACGTACTGATGTTGCACTTATCCCGTTTCGCATTCCAAAGTTTTGCTACTGCATCCCAAAAGGATTTACGTATAAAAAGCTGGTGAACTTTTTGGAGAATGGATGAAAAAAAATTTGGTTCAAGAAAAAACTCTTTTCCTTCTATGTTTCGTTTCAGAAATTTTCAAGTAATTTTTTCTTTCACAAATCAACTTTTGTTCTTGTTGTTTTGATCAAATCTAAGGCCGAAACAATAGTCCACATAAGCCTAAACAAAGGGCTAACATATGGTATCAGAGCCTCTGGTTTGTGCGAGGCAAATCAGTTGCAAGAAGGTGAAGAAAGAGCAATCATGGAGGAGAAATCTCCATGGTCATCAAAAGCAACCCAAGTTTGATTGGCCAATGGTCAACAACCCCAATCTTCAATGGCAAAAACTATGATTTTTGGTGTGTGAAGATGAGAAATGTATTTTTGTGAAGTGGTGATGACCAAATGAAATTTTATGGTGACGACAAGTGATAGGTGAATTGTTGAGAAAATTTTAATAAGCTTGCCTAAAAATTTAATCCTATTGAGGAAACTAAGGACATCTCTACATCTATACAACAATTGATGGGCTACTTAAAATCATACGAGCAAAGATTTAGTAGGCAATCTGAAAAAGGCAATTGAGCTTAACTCCAAAAATTTTGAAAAGAAATTATCAACCCAATATCAAAACAAAGGAGAGTCACCTAGAGGTTACAAGAGAGGAAAAGGTAATTTCGAAAATAGAAAACATTTTGAGAAAAAATTTAACGAAGAAGATTCTTCACAAAGGTGCATAATTTGTAATAGTTAGTCATGAAGAGAAAGATTGTTAGCTCAAAGGGAAAGCCTAAATGTTTCAAGTGTAACAAATTTGGGTATGTGCAAAAAGAAAAAAGATCTTAAATTCAATTTTAACCATCAAGCAAGTTTTACAAAGGAAAAGAAAGTGAGGGAATTTATTTCATAATTGTCCTTGTTAGCCCTTAGAAAGTTGGAACATTGGAAAACCAATACACGTCCATTTGGAAGCGAAAGCCTTACATTGGAATGCACAAGAAACTATTTTTTTGGTTCCGGAGCACATATTGAACTCACTGTTCAAATGTGCCCCTTCTTTGTCCAAATGTGTGTGTTTTGCAGAAATTTGATTTAGGTCCTGCAAAGTTGCATTCCTTGTAGGTCTTCATTTCTAGTCCAGATGACCGATGATCTATCAGAAGCTGCACTTTTGAGCAGCTAATTTTGGTTTGTACTACTTCAACATAATAATGCATTCTTGTGTTCCTATTTTCGAAAAACAAAACAAAAAAAAAAAACAGGACAAAACAAAACAAACAGACAAAATGAAGCTATTCAAGTAGATACAATCTAATATGATTTCATTTCACATTAACAAACCAAATTATACACAAAATCATCATTGTTCACATAAGCCCCAAAAGCCCAAATCTCTTTTACAAAATCCCAACAAAAATGGCTCAAACACAACCTGAGAACTAATTTTGATGAATAATAATAGTAATAATAATGAGAGAGCGAGAGAGAGAGAGAGAGAGGAAAAAGTTTCAATACAGAACCTCATTCTACTCTCAAACTGCTGTTGTTGTTCCAGGAACACTTACCACTGGCGGTCGTGTCACAGCAGCCAAAATGTCAGCATAACCGACCACGCCAACCAAGACATCCTCATTTTCAGCCTCAGTCACCCACACATGGGTTGCGCGATGAGACAGCATCTGAGCCATCACCGCAGCCAACGAACTTGTAACCTTACACGTTAAGGGCGCACTTCTACCCCTATACATGCTCCTACCGACACCAAAACTAGGGTTTGGAGTACTAATGAACCCAATACTCCTACTGCTGAATTTCTTCAGCCGCATTGAGCCACTGCCATTAACTAAACAACTATCTCCTACTCCTGGATTCACCAAAAGATCCGGTAGTGACCTTGAAGACACATTATCCTCAACACCCATCACAAACTGTCCTGCTGAGAGATTGGCCAAGGCCCACGCTGCGGCTAAGTAGTCACATTTCCACAGTTTGCATGCTGAAATCTCTCCAATGATCTTGTTTTGACCGTCCAATGTGGTTTCCACAACAGCGACGGCGCTGGGGTCGTGGGGAAGCTTTTGGGCAGCTTCGATGGCGGGATGGGATGCTTCAATTGAATAGTAGTTTGGGTTGATGGCTCCGAGGAAAGATATGGATGACAGAGGGAGAGGAGCCAATGCACCGAGGCAGCCGATAAGGAAACGTATGACGTCTTCTCGAGATAGACAACAGAACTTGCCGTGGATGGTAGTGGTAGAAGATGCAGAAGGGCGGTTGGTATTAAAGCTGCTAGAGGCGTCAAGGTTTTTAAGCCACTTGCCATTGTAGAGAATTGAAAATCGCTTGCTCATGCCTTTCCATACAACGCTTTTAGGAATGAGAAGACGCCTAACACCCTGCTTCATCATCTCCAACGCATCAATCAATCTGCAGGTGAAGGGAAAGACCGGAATTGATAGAGTCGGGAGAAAAATATATAAATCCAAACATCAATAATTTCTAATATTGCTTCACATTTCTTTCTGTGTTTCTTCAACTTTCCTTCTAGAAAGACAAAACAAAACTACCACAACAAATCTTTGCCATGTAGATAGCTTAAAAAGTAGAGAGATAAATGAAATAAAATTTGCAAACTTCGAGTTTGGTAATCCAATAAAACCAGTGTCTGGGCTAACTCATAAATTCATAATGGCCAATGTCCAAAACAGGTAACAGTAGTGTAAAAGCCACGACCCTCTTCGTCTCCAACACTTATTCCCCCTTCTTTCCCTCTCTCCTCTAGCACTTAGGAAAGCAAAATCTAACAGATCTACAAAGCCAGAGGACAAGAATTTGGGTTAAAATTTTCAGATGCAACCCTCATGCATAGAAGTTCCAGAATCTATTAAGACTAGCTCAGTTTTTATCTGTATGTTAGAAAACGTGAAGATTTACGAGAAGTTCCATCAATGTTAATATAGAACTGATCTATAAATCTCTTAATAATTTTTTAGTATATCCAAGGTTGGATACCAATTGTTACTATCAAGGTTGGAAAGAAAAGGATGGGAAAAATAGACTTTAAATTTTTATTACCTTATTTAGGATTAATTTGAATATTATGCATTTTTTTAGTTAGAATGCCTTTGTTAATGTGATATTACCAAAAAAAGGTAAACTACCAAGAGGTCCTATTAGTTAGATTTAATTCCCATCTCCTATCAAAAGTTAGTCTTAGTCCTATTAAAATCGTCGCTAAAAATAATTTTTTGTGACGATTTTTTGTATGTCACTAAAAATTGACAATTAGTGACTTTTTTTTTGTCACGACTTTTTTATAAATTGTCACCAAAACTTACAATTAATGACGCTTTTCTGCGATGAATTTTTGAAATTGTCGCTAAAAGTTTGCAAAATTAGTGACTTTTGTGACGATTTTTTAAACTGTTGTTAAAACTTATTATTAATAACGCTTTTTGTGACAAATTTTTCAAACTGTCATTAAAAATTAATAATTAATGAAGTTTTTTAATAGTATCTAATAAAAAATATCGTTAATTATCACAGGACCTACTGGACAATAAGTCCACCTATTAGGACTTATACGTAAATTCCCCTTAAAAAAATTATGGTAAATTACAAATACATCCCCTGAGTTTTGTTTAAAATACAGATAGACCCTTGTGGTTTGAAAAATTACAAATACCTCCTTGTCATAATTTTTTATTTAATAGAATTAACTGAAAAAATAAAATTACAAACTGCTCTCCTCTACAATAATAAAATTACCTGCATTGTTCTATGAGATAAATTTCTGATATCATGAAAAACTGTTAATTCACTTTATGATTTATTAATAAAAAAATGTTATTTATTATGAAATTTGAAACTTCAGGGGGCGAGATGTAATTTCTAAAACCACAGGGGCAATTCGTATTTTAAGCATATCTCAAGGGGTGTATTTATAATTTACCCTTAAATTTAAGAGACAATCTAGAAATAATAAACAATATTACAAAATGTAAGCTTATTTAAGCATCAAAAGAAAAAATGGGCATATATGGAATTTTGCATAAAGTAGGCTTCGAATTTCTATTAATTATTTAGGGTTCATTGGATTTTATGTATTTTGTGAGTTAAAAAATGCTACTAGATCAATTTGGTAATATGATAATAAGTTTAGGAGTCAAAGATAGTTCGGAAATTTTGCAAATTGCTAGACATGGGGTTGAAGGAGTTGTCCATGGGTTATGTTAGGGGTCAAGCAAGGTTATTGGATTATTATATGTAGTTTTGTTTAAGCTAGAATAGTCTAGTAGCCGAAGAGTCAAAGTTTCATCTTTAAGTCATTGTCCTAGAAGAGCCAGGAAAGGCCAGCAGAACACAAATACATATGTAAACACTTCAGTTTAGCAAGGCCTTAGGTAGCAATTGCTACTGGCTGGTCATAGACCTTAAATTTGTGTATGATGTGAATTTGGGGTCGTGACATCTTGGTTGGACAAGTCATATCCACTTTGGAAGTCTAAAACAAAGCCTATGACTTCTACACCCCACAGGAAGACTTTTTGGTGTAAAGTGAACTATCCTTGGTAGTTTTTAGAGTCTTAGTTGTAGTCTATTGAGAGTTAGTACACAGCTGGTCAGTTTTGTTACTGTTTTCTAACGTCTAGAGAGTCAAAGGATATTTTAATAATTTTCTCCGTTTTGTTAAACTTGTTCTGCAAAATGGATCATCAGGTCAATTTGTGTTATTGAATCTTTAATGTGGTTTTTACTAGGTCTATAAAATTGTAATTAGTAATAGTTTACTAGTTGTCCATTTATAAGTTGAAGTCCTACTAGGAATAGTAGAACTGTATCTCTTCTTCTCCTCTTCCTTGCATGAATTACCAGAGTAAAACTGTATCAGCCTATATTCTTCCTCTTCTCCTCCTCTTCGTTGCATGAATTACCAGAGTAATATTCTAGGGTTATTGTTCACAAGTCTAGGACAACTTTAGGACACTTGGAATAATGCTGTCTAAAATTGATATTATTTGGTGGGTTTGGGGCACCAGTTTCTAGATTCAGGGTTCTCAAAGATAGATTCTAGGGTCTGAAAAGGGAAGGAGCAGAGACAGCATAGCGTCTAGAGTAACTGTTTATTAATAAATGAGTTGCTGAAATCTTTACTAAACAATTACCAGTTGTAGATATCCATGCACCTACACATCAACAAGGACATGCCTTGAACATCATCGGAGAGACCTCTAAGGTTGTGTTTGGTTGGAGGATTTGATGAGGGAAATGAAAAAAAAAAAAAAAAAAAGAAGAGGAGAAATAATTGATATGATTCAAATTCCAAGTTATGTTTGGTTGAGTTGGAAAATGGAGAAAGAAACGAGCCTAAGTGAACCCAAAAGACAAAAAGTGGGATTACATTTCCCTCTCAATTTCTTTTCCCTGGTGTTTTCCATTATAACCAAACAGAAAGTGCGAATGCATTTCCTTTTCCTTTTGAATGCATTTCCTTTTCCTTTTCCATTTCCATTTCCATTTCTCTCATCAAATCCTCCAACCAAAAACAGCCTAAATGTCAGCCAGTACAGGACACGTGTTGGGCTTTACCGAATGACTCTACATGCAATTATGCACCAACAACACTTGTAGTGTGTGCTTTAGCCTAAAAATCATAGACATAATAAGGCAACTTCTTAAACACCCCAGGGGAGTTAAAGAGTTTACACACTGCACGTCTCTCCACCTAGGCCAAGAAATAGGGCCAGTATCAGGTATCGTGGGACTTTAGAATCTTATGGCTAACCTAGGCTACACCGCAGCACTTCATCTCACATTGGTCAAACCACCTTGGACTAATCCAATTGAGAGATCTCTCTCCATACACTGGTTATTTGTTAGAACCTTCACAAAGTCTAGTTCCTTTTGGAACCAAGGCAAGGTTCCACCCTAAAGAGACATTTCCTTAACTAACACTAGAATTCCATCTCATGCAGTTATATGCATGTGCTCACCTTCTGTAAATAGAGCGTTGTACCTCTCCTACATCACTTCACACTCTTTGGCTCTTGGAGACTGTAATTCCTCAAAGGCTCTAGATTCTCCACTGCCTCTTTCTATCTCTCTGGCTAGGGTGCTTCATCTCTCACTTGAACACATTCCAACGCCTCTGACATATTCTGCATCGAGCCTCCATCATCTTACCCATAATGGTTTTGATGTTGGCACTAAAAGGCCAAATTGGAGGGATAAGGATTAGGAGTTCGAACTAATACAAGTCTCATATTGAGTACTACTTGTGAAAATAAAAATAAGAAGGGCTTGATCCTCACGAGGTTAAGCAAAATCACATAAACACAAATCCAATTCTCAAAATTTCAACTCCATAAAATTTATGGATATTTATAGTTTGTTGGGTTTTCCACATCACCAATGATTAAGACTCAAAAATAAAAAACTACAAATCTTTAGCTAGTAAGAATATCCTACGCATAATAATATAGAGCCAAAAACTATAAATGAGGGATCTTTGGAGTATGCTCTTCTATATTTTTGGTGTTCATTAGGTAATGACTGACGGTTTTGCAGTTTTACAAGTGTTGGGCAGCAGGTTGTCCTTCAAAGAGACACAAGAGGTTCTAGAAAGTGGATCCATTATGTGTGATGTGGACCATTTGGATGGAACAAAATAGGAGGAATTTAGAAGAAGTGGAGTTGGGGGATGCACAATCTAAAACTTGCTCACTTCCGGTGCTTCCATTTTTTTTTTTTTTTTTTTTTTTTTTTTTTTTTTTTTTTTTTTTTTCAAAAGCTTTATTGATAAATAAGAAAAGGAAATGAGGATAAGGCATCCTCTTACAAAAGGACTAAGAGAAAACAAAACAAAATTGAAAACCCCCAAACAAGCTAAACACGGGCAAAATCCTACATATCACAAACTGCCAACCAATCTCTAGCCACCAAAAAAAGAGGAACTCCCTTAAATAAAGGGTTCCTCGACACCCAGAAAGAAGTTAAATGACAAACATTATCCCACAAACAACCCACTTCCCGAAACTTTTCATCAAACAACCTTGCATTTCTCTCCCTCCATAGAACCCAAAAAGTTGCAAAGACGGCACAAGACCAAAGCATTTTGGCTCTCTTTGATCCTCCAAAAATGTGAAAATCCACTAGGAGCATATGCGTACACCTTTTTGGGGCTACCCACGCCACATTTCCAAAAGAAAACAATTTGTGCCAATCAATCCGGTGCTTCCATTTTTGGCTTGAAGCAATTTTTTTTTTTTTTTGGTTGGCCTTTATTGACTTTCTAGGTGACCCTTCTTTGTAAATGCAATATATGTGGTTTTTTGGTATACTTCCCCTGCACAAAGGTTGCACACCTTTTGGTGTTTTTTTCCGAGTTAACGATATATTTATCTTTACCTCTTTAAAAATAAAAATTTTAAATATAAAAAATTGACCAAAAGCTCATGTCCAGCATAAATGGAAATTATAAGAACACCACTAAATCATAAAATCTAAATAAAAAGGTACTAGTAGCGTGAACGTACAATCAATGATATAAGCCTCAAATTAACCCTAACATTGATTACACCATGTCCAAGGTGTGCTCCATGCTGAATTCCTTATTTTCCCCTTTTCTTGTAGCAGACTCATACTCGTGCACTCTCATTCAAGCAATTGAGAGGATGCAAAAATAATTTGCAATTAGCAGCTTGATCAACAAGTGTACAATTTATTTGAAAGAAGTCAATACCAAGGCCCTGTTCTCACTTGACCATTAAGAAGATAATCAAATCCCCCCCTAGAAATTCATAACTAGTAATAGATTATTGTCGGCCTTTCTACACATAAGTAGTCATCAGGTGCATGTTTATACCACACCATACCACACACAAAAAATATAATAAAAAATAAAGCAAACAAGAACATAACCTCCTATCATATTTGGACTAAAACACACCGTCTATTACAATTTCCATCTGAAATTGACAGAAAGTGCATCACATGCCTATGTTGAGAGTAAACCATTTTTTCATGACAAAAATACCCTTAATAATAATCAAATTTACAAAAAAAACAAAATGTTACTTTCCTTGTTCTTCCTCTCTCTGTTCTCTTCTACCCCTTCCTCCCCCTCCCGCCCTACCCCCTCACACCCACTTCCCCACCCCCAACATATTGTGTACACACACACACGCGTGCGCGTATATTATGTATGCATATATATTCGACATTCCATAATCCACTCCCTCCCCCCATCGCATAGCACCCACCTCGTAGGAGACACTATCTATAGGTTCGGTTATATTTTATCAAATTTAGTCTTTATCATTTGGTTAAATATGACTGTGATATGAACATGATGTGCTTGATTTGTGGGAAATTCAAATTTGATGACGATGACATGGGAGGAAATCAGTCAGTTGAAGGGATCTGTTGATTCTTGTTTTGAAACTTGTGTAGAATATAATTTCAATGATTTGAGTACTCGATTTAAGTGTGCAGTAGATATTGGTCATACAGTGTTTTTGGATTCGTTCCGGTATCATGATTGCTTTGCATACCATACACCAAGGAACTATTCAAGTGCATTAGATCTCTATCATAAGATGCAGAATGCATGATTTGCACCAGACAATGTGCCTTATAGCCTAATAATGAAGGTCCCAAGTCATACTAATGGGTCTTGAGAGATAGAGAGGGAGAGGGAGAGGGAGAAGGAGAGCGGTGTGTAGGGAGGGGGAAGTAAGGGTGACGGGGAAGGGAGTCCTTGGTGGTGGATGAACAAGGTAAGGGGAAGTGGATTAATTTTATATACGTAAAAGTATTTCACAGATACATATATATATATATATATATAGAGAGAGAGAGAGAGGTTTAGTTTAGAAAATAAAGGAAGAAGACGAGAATATTTGCTTAAGTGCACTTAACATATGTTAGTGGTGAGTTTTAGTCAACCAACAATAGGAATATACATATTTTTAAATGATAAAGGGTGCACATAGCCCAAACCACAAAGCTAGTAAAATTTGCCCAATAAAAATTAAGGAAAAGTTCCAGTGACCCCTAAAAAATAGACTCGTGTGACACTTCAGGGCCCACAACCACCAAAAAAACACAATATATTCCCAAAACTTCAACATGAGCATTGAACTGCGGAATGAAAAGCAAAAGCAAACGCAACATATTCTGATCAACATGTAAAGAATTGAAGAAATGACTGAACTTCCAAGATCAGAAAAAACAATAAACAATAAATAATAAATAATAAATAACAAAAAAAAGACAAATGAACCAACAACAATCATTATTCTCTTTAATCCGAAAACAATTAAAAAGTCACAAACCAACAAGCCAAGAAATCATAGAGATGCATACCATAAAAATTATGGTATGTACAGAGTGATTATGCCTCTTTGAATTATTTCTCTCCTTCGTTCAACCATCAAAAAAAATTATATCCGTTTAACCCATCCTACCTTTATCCAATCTTTTGTCTCATCATTTACCGCATAGTATAACTTATAATTCATCTCCATAATACAATTCATAATCCTATTATATATATATCCAATCATTTGTCCCATTTATTTATAGCATAGTATAATTTATCTCCATAATCCTATCATATATCCAATCATTAATCCTATTAATCCCAAGTATAACTTGTCACCACAATTCTATCAATAATCTCATTCATACTCATACACAATCACCTTAAACATAATAATATGGAACAAAGAGAGTAAGAAAGATAACCTTGTAGCAGGATCAACCTCCTTGAGCAGAGAACTGTTGGGAACAACCACCTCAGAGACAGGGGTCTTCATGGCCTTATCATGATCCTCCAAAAACTCATCTCTGGCCAAGAAGGCCACGATATCGAGCGAATTGAGAATACCCACAAACCTCTGTTGCCTCATCTCAGCATTCTCAATCACACTCTTGTGTGGCGATCTCTTCCTCCACACAGGTATCCCTCCTTCCATCGACTCTCCTATCGCCCTAATCGCCGCCTCCACTGTCTCAGTCTCCGCAAACTCCACCAGCTCCGGCTTCCCCACCGTCAGATCCCCAACCACATGGTACAAAAACACGGATGCCATGTCGTTCTTTCCTGTTGTACCCAACTCAATTCAAAAGCAAAAACCCAGAAAATTGAGTGAAAAACTGGATTTGGGTATTTGATTTTCTGGGTAAGGAAGTCAAAACTGGATTGATTTGATTTGATTTTCTGGGTAAACAAACAGAGTGGAGTGGTGTTGTTATAAGAGAGAGTGAAGGAAGATGAGGAGGAGGTGAAAACGGGTAATGGGGAGTTTGGGAAGAAGGGTATTCAGGAAATGGGAAGTGGTAGTTGAAGGGAAGTGAGAGGGATGAGAAAGGCAATTGGCCATGATAGAGTAGGAAGCTTAATGCCCATCAAAGGTTTGATTGAGAGAGAGACAGAGAGAGAGAGAGGTTGGTTTGGATCTGGATTGGGGATCTGAGTCTTCTTTGATTCCGAATTTGTTGGAATGATGTACGGGCGAGGCAGTGGGGGTAGGGATCTAGTAGTATTATAGAGACAATGCGTTGCTAGAGAGAGAGAGAGAGAGTGAGGAAGAGAGAGGTGGGGTTGGATGAGTAGAAAAAGGATCATTATGGAATTATTGGAGAGATAGAGACAGAAGAATTGATCAATTATTGGGGGTGGGGAATTTCTGGAAGGGAGAGGCTTCCCTCAGTTGGGTACGGTTGGGACTCCGTCACCCAATTTGGGCCGTCACTCGGAGGAAAGCCAGGTTGAAGAAGATCTGCTCTTCCGTGGTCAGCCTATATCCACAAAAAAAATATCTATATATATTTTGGATTTCAAATATTTTATTAAATATTTTATCAAATGTTTTGTATTATGTAAGTTTGACGTGAGTTTCACATTTATATAAAATATTTAGTAAGTTATTTGAGATTTTTAGTATTACATGGGTTGGTTTGGGATATCTTAAAAAAGTATATTTTTTATCTTTTTATGAAAAGATGTGCAGAAAAATAGAGAGGTGATGTGATAGAAAAAAGATAAAAAAATAAAAAGATAGATTATATAGGTTATGCTAACCCTAAATCGTTGAATATGTAAATTTTGTCGAATACTTTACTTTTGTAAAAAATTATATTGATCAGATATAGATAGTTATTTGATCAGATCATATTTGTCTAAACAAATTATTTTAAAAATTATACTTATTGTTGATATGAATATGATATGATCAAATGACTATAGATATTCAATAAAAGTGATTTTTTTATATATATGAATAAAGTACTTGACAAATTATACATATTGAACGGTTCAAATTATCAATGCAGACTTTACGATAGACCCACAATCTGATTTGGACTAAGGCCTTGTTTGTTTTCAAATGTAGAATAGAGGGGATTCATAGTGAGGAGATTAAGTAAAATTGTGTTTGTTTTGATGATAGTTGTTAGTGCAGGAATTGTTAAATTATTTTTATATAAAATAATAAAACAAATAAAAAATACAAAAAATTAAATATTAATATTCAAAAAAAAAGTTTCCCAACATGTAAAAAATAAAAAAAAAATTATAGTCCCATCACTATTTTTCTAATACCACCTCCAACTCCTCCATTCCAATCCCCCTTCCAACCTTCATACTAATCCTCTAATCCATCTCAATCTCTTTTCTAAATCAACAAACAAACACAACACTAAATAAATTTTATCTCCATCCTAATCTCGTCTCAGTCTCTACACTCCAAAACAAACGGGTCCAAAGAGCACCCTTCACATCGTAGGATTGGTTTGTCTAGATTTTCAACATGGCAAAATCTCTGTTTGGATTGTATATGGTATTAGCATAACATTCATGCTATGCATTGTTTTAAATAAATAATAATTAATTAATTTTAAAATTAAAATTAAACAGTAAAAAAATCAAATTAATTAAATTTTAATTATTTTTATCATAATTTTGCTTCTTTTTTTTCTATCATTAATGTTATGTTTTAAATTCTAAATAACAATAACATGAATCATACTGTAATTAGTAAAAATTAAACAAAAATTATGATAAATCATAAAGTTGCACTTTTTAATTTTTATTTTTAAGAACAAAAACTACACCTGTGATAAAATATAAATACATTATTTTTTTCTAAGGGTTTCATAATTTTAATTTTTCATATATTAGATAATATCGTAAACTATGTGAAACTCAATAATTATTATTATTATTATTTTCCTAATTACATTTTTTAGTATGCCATATAATAGTAATAATATATATATATATATATATATTGTGAAACTCAATCTAGCAAAATTTGTTTAAATCACAAAATTGAATAACAAAATGAAAATGATAAAAAAATGAATTACCAGTAACCTTTATCCTCTTATCTTCCCTGAAATTAGCATTTATCTATCCATTACAACTTTTAGATTTTCTCACAATCGATAGTTTGGCATCTAACATTGGACCATTTTTTTATTCTTCTCTCTCATTCACCTCTGCTTAACAGATCTTCATAGCATAATTGTAATTTTTTTAAATTACATGATTGTAATTTTTTTAAATCTATATAATAAGGGATAAAGGTTTTTTAATTTATCCTAGAGACAATTGTCCTACTAAGACATTTTAATGATCATGATTCACTTATGTATTTAGATAGACGGATGAGATAAGCCCCCTTTTAAATATATATCAATCCCAAATATATATCTACATTCTCTTCCCGCCCAAACACTAAACTTCTTACTTACTCACATCTCCACGTCTCCTCTCCATTTTATCTTTATCTCTCGCCTTTCTCTGTTCTCACCTTCCTACTTACCCACGTCTCCCATCCATTCCATCTTTATCTCTCTCCATTCTCTGTTCTCACCCAACCCATTCCCTCTTTATCTCTCTCTCTCTCTCCATGTTCTTCTTCTTCCATACCCCCCTCCTCGCTCGATCCCGAAACTGCTGCTCTCCAGGGGACCTGTTGAGTTCCCTCTCTCTCTACTATCTACTGTGCTTCACACACAATCTGAGATCAGATCGCATTGTTGAATTCGATCTAGGGCTTTCAAAACAATGATCTTCAAGGCGCTGTTCTTCGTGTCAACCTTCATCTGATTGATCTTGATTGCTATCACTTTACTAAAGATCACTCTGTTGTTTGAATGCTATCAACTACTTTCTCTCTTTTCAGATTTTCTCTCTGTAGGGCTATTCTACGTCGCACCACAATTCTCTCACTCTTCTCAAACTAAAGGTAAAGATCACTCTGTTTACTCAAATTCATTTTATTATGTTTCATTGCTATCTCTCACAAATTCTATAAATTAGGACAGAAATATTAAAGATTTCCAGCAAATTTTACTCAAATTCTAAAGATTTGTACTCAAATTCTATCAAATACAAGTAAAAAAACCCCAAATTGGAGGCGAAAAATGACTGAATAGTTGAGTAGAGGTTTTACCTCCGCAAATCGCATATAACCCAGTAAAAAAAATCAAATTTATTTGAGGTTTTACCTCCGCAAATCGCATATAACCCAGTAAAAAAAATCAAATTTATTTAATTTTCTAGCATTTTCTTGGAACCAAATGGAGTCTGAAAAAGTTTGGGGGGTTTTATCCGATGAATGTCTGAGTTCGTTTATCAAACCCCTATTTTTCTACTATTTTCTTACTAGCCTATCACCCGTGCTATGCACGGGATAATTATAGATATTTATATTTATTTTAGATTTTTTTTAAAATATAAATTATGTTTTTTAAGATTTTTTATAAAAATAATTTAACAATCTTATCACTAACCATAATGTATGGGAGAAGTTGAAAAGGGTACTGCAGTAACTATACACGGATTGTATCTATAATTATTTGTATAAGGGGATTTTAAATGCTGATCAGAAAATTTTGACCAAATCAATAAATGCAGGCATGTGAAAAGACATGTGGATTGAAAAAAGTTAATAAATGCTGATCAGGGGATTTTGACCAAATCAATAAATGCTGAGTTTTTTTTTTAAAATAAAAAATAAAAAAAATAGAAAATTCAGATTGGGATATTGAAGCTCCCACATGCCTTGGGGTTAAAAATCCCATTTTGCTTAATATATAGTATATAGTACAGATAGCCTATCACCCGTGCTATGCACAGGATAATTATAGATATTTATATTTGTTTTTTTTTTTTTAATATATAAATAATGTTTTTTAAGATTTTTTATAAAAATAATTTAACAATCTTATCACTAATCATAGTGTACAGGAGAAATTAAAAAGGCTACTGCAGTAACTATGCACGGGCTGTATCTATAATTATTTGTATGAGGGGATTTTAAATGCTAATCAAGAATTTTGACCAAATCAATAAATATAGACATGTGGATTGAAAAAAGTTAATAAATGATGATCAGGGATTTTGGCCAAATCAATAAATGCCGAGATTTTTTTTTTAAATCAAAAATTTAGAAAATTAATATTGAGAGATTGGAGCTCCCAGAAGGCTTGGGGTTTAGAAACCCACTTTTCCTTAATATATTTACAATCTATACTATATATTAAGCAAAAGGGGTTTTTTAACCCCAAGGCCTGTGGGAGCTCCAATCTCCTAATCCTAATTTTCTAATTTTTTGATTAAAAAAAAAAATCTCAGCATTTATTGATTTCTCCCAACCCAATCTCAGCATTTATTGACATCTCCCAACCCACAATCCCTTTTGACTTCTCTCATAATTATTGCAACACCCTTTTCAATTTCTCCCATACACTATGGTTACACACAAAAATAAAGAAGATAAGAATTTAGCTATAAATCTCAAAAAGATATAACATCTAAATTTGAATTATGATTCAATAATATAATTATGTATTTATTTTTATGTATATCTATCAAAATTTTAAATCACTTAATGGGAAAAATTAATCAATTTTTCAAAATTATTGATTTTTAATTTACAAAATAGATTAAAAAAAACTATTGACTGATTTATTTATTTAATAACAAAAATATTTCATAATCTCTCCCTCCTAATCTCTCTCACAAATTTTCAAAAAAAAATATTAAAACTTGCATTTTTTAAATCAATAACACTCACATGTCTATTACATATCTAACTCACATCGTAACTTACCTAAATAATAATAATTAAAAACAAATGGAAACCACAGATAAATTAAATTAAATTAAAAAAAAAGATACCCACAACTCCATCTTAAATAAATTGGAAAAAAATACCCGAATAGAAACCACACAAAAATAAAAATAAAAATAAAAAGATATATCTATCTATCTATCTATATATATTAAGAAAAATGGGGTTTCTAACCCCCCAAGTTTTGTGGGAGCTCCGATATCCCAATCTAAATTTTCTAATTTTTTATTTAAAAAAAAAACCTTAGCATTTATTAACTTCTCTCAATCCCCAAGTATAAAAAAAATTATTTAAAAAGTCCAACATATATAAATTCCTTGAAAAGTCTCAACACACACGATTATTATCCCTCATAATAACACTTTAATACATTAAAAACAATCATAAAAAAAAAAATCCTTGAAAAGTCCAACACATATGAATTTCTCCAAAGTCCAACACATATGATTATTATCAAAATATTACACTTTAATATAATATAAAAAAAAGACTTTTAAAAATCACAATTCACATATATAAAAATAATTGTGAAGTACATATGAATTCTTTGAAAAATCCAACACATGATTATTATCCCTCATAATAACATTTTAATACATTAAGAACAAGCATGAAAAAAA